GACAATTACAGCTATCAACCAAACATAAGGCACAACCACAGACTGCAAAATTAACTAAACAATCTACTTACTTAACACCAACACAATATCACACAATAAATCACCCCAATTCCCAAACACAGTTAAATTAAGTTATATAGTTCATTATATAGAAATGTTGTTATATTGAGAACGTATCATAAAAGAACATAATCAAACATAGATCCATATCATGGGCCACAAGGAAGCTATCCGCACCAACAAAAGGATTTGAAGAGACCTGATTAACCTCTCAAACGAGAAAATGAGGAAAGGTTTGGCTAATTCAGCCATCTAGAAAACTTCATTAGCATGTAATAATTTAAGATTTTTTTTATAATAATATATAATAATTATATTTGATGTATTTTCTCATATTTTGTAACCTCCATACTAATAATTATCGTTATGTTGTTAATGCTAACAATAAATTGCAAGAATACTTTAAATACAATTAATACAAAATGAATTCTACACAATGAATTCTTTGAAATGTAACATAATGATATACATACAATTAACTTACACATAAATGACATTTAAACATAATTGTTAAAGTTGAATAGCTGTAAAACGTAAATATTTTGTCTTCTATAAATAGTAATATACACATATCACTAATCATCATATTCCAAATTTCATAATATTGATAAATATTATAACACTTTCTTTTATAATCCAACTAATAGTGTTTTAATATTACATTTTTATCAATTTTTAAGAGACTATGAAGAGGAGATGACAAAAATGAAAAGAAAGAAGGTCATCTGATAAGTCGTATGTGGATCACAAAAAGTAATAATAAGAAAAGATTCAAGATAAAATTATAAAACTAATAAGAGGTTAGATCGCAAGTTAACATGATTAAAAGTAGAATAAAAGTAGTGCTAGATACATTAACATGATTTTATATTTTATTTTGTTTTGAAGAAATCAATTAATAGTGAAATCAATTAAAAATAATAATAATATTGCATGCTGATGTGTCATTCTCTCAAGTGTTGACGTGTCACTCATATAGAGAGAGTTAGTCAACTTTCATACATATGATTTACATAGTTTTTAGTCCATCTTAGTCAAAGTTTTTTATTATTAGGGAGTCTTATGTTTCCAAAATAGTTATACATATATATATATATATATATCCATATGATTATATATTCATATGTACATATATATATATATATATATCCATATGATTATATATTCATATATACATATATATATATATATATCAATCTAAAATCTAAGTTTATTTTTTAAGTACCAATTAAAATTCAAATGTATTTAAACTTATTGCATAATTTTGTTCGATATAAATTTTTACGTACAACTTTGTCTTATTAAATGCATCAAACTTAGTTAATAAAATAATAATCAAAATAAAAGTAGTCATCATTGTGGTTAGATAGAATAGACAAATTTAATTAAACTAGAAAACAACCCACGCATTTTGTGGGTTTAATACTATACTTATATTTTAGAATATTTGACGAATATCTATGTCGTGTCTCATCTACAAATATACATTTTGATATTTAAAAAAAAATGCTTTTAAAAATTACATAGGCGACTATATTTTTAAAAGTCAACTACAATTAAAAAATGACCACATGAAAATATTTTTGTTTTTGTTCTTACAATACTTACACATCCAACACTTAAAAAACATGACTTTCTTTCTTAGTGTACCACTTTTTATTATTTTGATATGTAACATAAACTTCTTCTTATCAAAAAAACTTAGTGTACTTTAAATTTGTTGTTTCCACTAATTTAATGTTAAAATCAGTTGATTTAATTGATGAAATCTCAAACTTATTTTTCTTTTTGATCATGTTACAAAGTTTTAGTTCCACTTGAGAATAGACTTTTCTTCGAGATATGCTACACAAACTATAGATCATTTTTAACGGCTTCCAAATCATTTTTTATTATTTTGTTGTAGAACTCACACTACAAGAAAACATCACAATTTCCGACAAAGGTATTGGTCGGAAATTCGTCGGAAATAGCATATTCCGACATATTTCCGACAAAATCACATTCGTCGGAATTCTCTGGTCGGAAACCATAAGTTGTCGGAAATTCGTCGGAAATTATCGACGAAAACTATTTGTCGGAAATGTTGTCGGAAATATTTGTCGGAATTTTGTCGGAAATTTCCGACAAATTTCCGACGACTATTCATATAGTGGTCGGAAATTCGTCGGAAATTTCAGACCACTTTTAAAATAAAAATAAATATATACCGAAATTAGTTCCGACAAAATTCCAACAACTTTTCTATTTAAAAAAAAAAAAACAAAAAAAACAAATAAGAGTATTATACTTAAAATTAAAATAATTATTGAATATCTACAAAAATAGATTAATTGTCACAAAACCAATTTTCATTATCAACAAATGAGAATTAAAATTAAATTAATTAAAATGAATAAATATATAAATACATAAATGTCTCTATTAATTGAAGAAGAGAATAAAAATGTTGAACTTTAAAAAAAAAAGAATGATGTTTTGTTTTTTTTTTTTTGTCAACAAAGGAATGATGTTTGATGTAGAGAGAAGAAGATGTTAATAGAGATTGAGATTGTTGTGTTTGGAATTGTGGAAAGGATGAAAACTCATTTGCTATATATAGAAAAAATTTCCGACGATGTATTTCGTCGGAAATTTGTCGGAAACTACAAAACGCGGTAAATTCATTTGAATTGAATGTACAAAGGCGGGAACATGAAAAATCATAAATTTCCGACAAAATTCCGACGAACGTAGAAATTTCCGACGAAATTCCGACGAACGTAGAAATTTCCGACAAAATTCCGACGAACGTAGAAATTTCCGACGAAATTCCGACGAACGTAGAAATTTCCAACGAAATTCCGACGAAGGTAGAAATTTCCGACAAAATTCCGACGAACGTAGAAATTTCCGACGAATTTCCGACGAAATTAATTATTAATTAATTATTTACTTAATTATAAATTATTTAATTTTTCAAAAAAAAATTTCAAAATAATATTTCTGACGACTTTCCGACGAAATTAATTATTTATTTATTTATTTATTATAAATTATTTATTTTTTTGTTTTTTTAAAATAAAAATGATTAAAGAAATAATTTCCGACAAATTTCCGATTAACAAAACTTTCCGACTTAAATTTCGTCGGAACTTCGTCGGAAATATTAAAGGTTTAAACTAATAATTTCTGACGATTTTTCCGACTTATATTTCCGACCAAAGCGTCGGAATTTTGTCGGAAAATGTGCAGTGAATAAACATGTGTTCACCTAATATTTACGACGAGTATTCCGACAAGTTTCCGACCAATTTCCGACCAATTTCCGATAAAATTAAATAGTCGTAATTTTCCATGTTTTCCGATGAATCCTTCCGACAAAGTTCTGACGAATTTGTGATCGTCGGAAATTTTTCTTTTTTTTCGACAATTTTCCGACGAATTTATTTTTCCTCGGAAACTCGTCGGAAACCTGTCGGAAAATTTCCGACCAAACATTTCGTCGGAAATTTTCCTCGGAAATGGCTATGTTTTCTTGTAGTGTCATGAATAATATGATCATTGATTTTTTTTTTTAGAAGATGGATTATAATATTTAACGATTTTATGATTTTTTTTAATATAATTTTACAAAAAGTATGAGCTTTACAATTTCTTCATCTTTGAATTTTAAATTGAGTTTAGTAATCTTTTAATTTTTCGTAAGTGAAAATGTAATAATAAAATAAATCTCTTTGTAGTATATTTTTTAGTTAATATTAACTTAAGTTTTATTTTCCTGTTTAAAATTTAATAAATTGAGTTACATAAATTGTTTTTTACTATACCATGCACTTAATCTTACTTCTATTCTAAAACTCATTAAAACATTAAAATTTTGAAATATGGTCACTTTTAATTTTTTTTATATGTTAAAAGTTGAATTATATTATTATTACTACTACAATTTTCAAAGTATTGTTTTCACTATTTTAAAATTTCATTAATTTTACTTAATTCGTTATTCATTTAATTAAATTTTCTATTAATTATAAGTACATATGTATGCACTGAATGAATATCTTAAATATACTTTTAATGTAAAAATAATATCATGCTTAGATGGATACCTTAGATGAAGAGAGAACTCCCTCTAATTATATACATAGATTTTTATTAATAACATATATCTTGATATATGTATATTTATTTATATAGATTTTTCAAAATATTTTCTACGAGACAAGATATTTGTAAACTAATACGGATTTCAGTTTTTAGGGATGGAGCATCAAAATCAAGTTGCAGGTTGCAGCTACTAATTCCTTGTCATTCACAAGATCCTAATAAAAATCCCATGGAACATTCATAACAATTAACAACTTTCAAAGATTAAGCTTTTAATTAAATATTTTCTTTCTTTCAAGCCACATGTTGAAGAAAATACTGAATGGAAAATATAGATCAAACATAGGTAACAAAACATATATAAATATCTCGTATAATTAATAAAGAAAACAACTTCCAAGATTTAACCTTAATCACCAAAAGAGACTAGGGTTAAGAGTAAGTTTGCTTACATATTTCTCTCTTTCTCACGGTCAACTACGAAATCGAAGTCTAAAGTTTTGGTTCGTATCATTTTCCCCAACCCAAAGAGATCCCCAAAAATGTGTGAATGAATTTTCATACAAAACAATGTTAACGTCATTCTTATGAACAAATATAATAAAGTTTCACACTGTGAAAGAAAGTTGTTATGGCCGAGTTGGTCTAAGGCGCCAGATTAAGGTTCTGGTCCGAAAGGGCGTGGGTTCAAATCCCACTGTCAACATTACTCATTTTATTTTTTCACTTCAACAAAGTCAATCTTACACCGTCGATCTCATCACTCTTTTGCAATCATCCAACGGTCCTTATCACTCCACGTATAAACGACCTGGGTCTTTATTAAATCATCCATATACAATTTAAGAATCTAATTCTCACGAAAAAACCCCAAAACTTCCAAAATCAACTTTTCACCCCCAAGAACTCATCTTCTTCGTTGAAACGATAATGGCGTCGTCGAAGCACGAAGACTACGGCGTTCCTTACACACCTCTTCCTTCATCACAACCTTCACAAACCGTAATCCTTCTAACTCCATATCGCCGTAACCGTTATCCCTCAATCTTTCGTAACCTCCGTTGTTCTCTCCTCTTCACCGCCGCAATCCTCCTCCTCTCCGCCGCCGTTTACTTACTCTACCCTTCAGATCCAGACATCACCGTCTCACGAATCAATCTCAACCACATAAGCGTCGTAGATTCACACAAAATCGCTTTAGATCTCTCGTTTTCACTCACAATCAAAGTTCGAAACCGCGACTTCTTCTCTCTAGATTACGATTCGCTTGTTGTTTCGATTGGGTATAGAGGAAGAGAGTTAGGGCTTGTGAAGTCTAAAGGTGGACATCTAAAGGCTCGTGATAGCTCTTATATTAATGCTACGCTTGAGCTTGATGGTCTTGAGGTTGTTCATGATGTGATTTATTTGATTGGTGATTTGGCTAAAGGTGTTATTCCTTTTGATACTATTGCTCAAGTTAAAGGTGATCTTGGTGTTCTCTTGTTCCAAATCCCTATTCAGGTATAGTGAATTTCTTCTTTGGAACAATTAGGGTTTAGTGAAGAGAAAAGTTTGGAACTTTGATTTTGGATAGGGAAGACTTTTGTGTTATGCTTGCTTAAGAACATTTTAGATTGGGTTTGTGGTGGTTTAAGTTTTGATGATGAAGAAAGATGAGACTGTTTTTTAGGAATTCGCTTTTTTGGTGACTTCAATCAATCGTTATCGTCGTAGGTTCTAACTTTGAATTGGTTGTTTCATTAACTGTGATTCTGTGGATGAGATACGTGGTTTGAAGAAAGCTGCGTTTGATGGGAATGTTTTTTATTTTGAGCTTTGGATATTTGGATTTAGGGATTGTAGTTCATATCAGCTACTGGAATATGTTTGCTGGCTCTGTTGTGTTCCACCTTGTTATGAGCTGATTGGGATTTATGAGATAAAAGATTCAGATTTGTAGGGTATATGTGTGTTGGTACAGAACCATTTTAGTGTTTTGTGTAAGGGTGCTCTCTAAATGAAATTTGGATCATTAGCCGTAACGTTTCACATTTTTGGAAAATGGAGAAAGAGAGAGTAGATGCTTTACTGACACTGTTTTCTATCAGAACCAACCGAAAGTTTGTCAAGAGTCCTAGTTTTTAAATGCGTTTTGATATTTGTATGACATGAACATTAAGTCATTCTCTGCTATATTAGTTTCCAAGTAAAGATTTAAACATCTGATGTTTTAATACATGGGTAAAACTGTTTTGCTGCAGGGTAAAGTGTCGTGCGAGGTATATGTTAATGTTAACAACCAAAAAATTTCACACCAAGATTGTCATCGTAAGGTAAACCTGGTTTCTTTTGTTCCTCATTAAATGCTACTGGTATTTTATCAACCAATGTGCTTTGGTGACAATGAGATTATAGTGTCTAATAGAAAACATGGTTTTATATTTGTGAAACCTAATCAAATGTTTCCACATTGGTTTTTTATGCGCAGTGAACCGCCATCCTAAGCTGGACGAGAGATGAAAGACCAGATAACATATGTTGACATGTTTTGGTTTCTGGAGAAATGATTCGTAAGATATTGTATAGATAAATACTCTTAATGTTAACACTGAAAAATAGAAGGAGAAAGATGAAGAACTACTTTCTGTAAAGTCCTTTCTTAACTCCTTAAATGTGTAACAAGTGTTTGCTTTTTTTTTTTTTGGGCAAAATAAACTCGATAAACTTTTCATACACGTGGAGAAAATATCGGTTATGCAGTCATATGACATTCGGATTTCGGTTCGGATTTTTTCGGAATAGGATAGGAGAGTTTATTATCCATTTGGATTTTATAACTATTCGGTTTGGTTTCGATTCGAATATGATCAAATTCGGACCGGATCGGTTTTCAAAAAGAACAAAACTAAATTTTTTTCAATTTTAACAAAAAATGGTTTAATCTTACTAAAATTTGGTTAAATTTTGCAAAAATTGTGTATAATTTCAACAAGTATAACTAAATTTTTTTGGATATCAAGGTTATTTTGGATATTTTTATTATTTGGTATTTTTAGATATAAATTTATAGCTAAATATAAGTTATAACTAATATTTTTGGATATATAATTTTATCTTGAGTTTTCGGATATATTTTCGGTTTTCAGTTCGGTTCGGGTAATTCAGATAGGAGAATTCATTATCCGTTCGGATTTTGTGACTATTCGGTTCGGTTTCGGAACCGGATTTTTTGGACCGGTTTTCAGATTTTGGGTTTTATGTCCAGCCCTACTCATATGGATGATTCTTTTGTATATCCTCATGTGAGCATGGCAAAGATGGTGACTTCTTAGGCTTTGTCGATAGCATCGATGCATCAGAAACTCTTAACAATGTGCAAGATGAGAGATAAACATCCCACTGATAAAGTCTCCATCAACATCACATTGGAAGAGCTGTATTTTACGATTTAGCAAATTTTCAACAAATTTCTGAAAAGCAAAGAAGATTGAGAAAAAGTCTTGTTTTCAGTCGGATATAACAACCAAACCTCCAAAAGTTATCCAAAAAACACCACATAATATGTATCGACTAAATTGCTTTTTGGTTAGTGGGATTTGCCAGTCGATGAAATGATGAGTCTACAATAACTATGCAAGAAAGAGGACTCGGTTACACCCTAATACGCATGCAGTTCGTAAAGGAGCAGCCAAAGCGGAGCTGGAGAAGGAGTTATCTCGGAGTTAAGAGGGAAGAAGCGGATGGCGGTTGAGAATACTGGCTAGAGCCAGATGGTTAAAGGAGCACCACTCAAAGAAAAGTTGGGAGTTCACCATTTTATGAAAATTACAAATAGTTTAAGACTTGATTTTCGTATGGAATGTTTTCAAACATTTTAGTCATGGTTAGCCATTGTGGATGTTGTAAATGATAAGTATACACTTTTCTTCTAAAAGCTTCATAGATTAGTTGAAGTTTAGCCCATGGTCCGTTTATCAAAAAAAGGAAAGAAAAAAGGATGATACTATCTTTGATCTAAATGACATGATCTAATGTCTTCATGACTTCTTAATGCAACACATTTTCAAGATGATGTTATTCAACAGTAACCAACATGAAAAATCATCTTCGTAAATCATAACCCTTGTAATTCATAGTCTTCAAAGACGTATTGGATCTATGAGCAGAGTTACTATATATTCCTTGAGTTTTCCTTCACTACAATTGAATATATCATCGGACTTGGTGTAAAGGACTTCCAATAAGCGTCTAAAATTGAGTGCTTGCTTGAGAACACGAGGTGACACGGCAGTTGTCTTAAGTAGCTCTTCATTTATGATCTTATTGATATTTGCGATCATTTTTTGACACTCTAGAATAGCCCCTTCTTTGGTAACTACAAATTGCTTCATATAATAGTTGATCGCATTTGCAGCAAACCCGTTACTCATGTCGTTCTGACAATACCAAACACGTAAGTTAAAGGACAAATCACACTAAATCAAAGCAACCAAAGCAACTATCGTTTCTTCTTACCTCAAAATCAGTCATATCATCCATTAGACGACCCTTTGCAGCTAGAGATTTGATTAACCTTGGTCTCGATCTTACCCACTCGTAAGCTTCCTTCCCGACAGTCTCTCCCATTCCGACAAAAGAATACATTAACGTTGCATATGAGGTAAGTGCTATTCCACCTACCTCTACATGTTCTTCAAAGCTAGGCACCTGCTTTCCTTGTGCCCATTTGACAAGATCAAGATTTGCTCTCACGAGTGTCTTGAGCTGTTTACTCGAAAATATAAGTATATAGTTTTCTTTGATAAACGATAAATATAAGTATATTGTTACGAGCTATATGTCTTTTGTTATCAATACTGAAGTATTTTTATATGAATTTTAAGAAAATTGGTTTATATTAATCACCTCTTCTAACATCTCCTTCAAGTGGAAAGAGCTTCCTTTAGACCTCACTCCTCTTTCGATCTCGTCGAAAACATCCAACATAAGTTTGAAGACAGTTCGCGATATATCTCCTATTGTGTCAACGCCATCAAGAATCCATCTACACATATTTACTTTCAACATCATTTATTTTTTTCGTCAAGCAAATCCCACAAAACTGTTTACACGAAAAACGCTTTGTGTACATATTAATGTTGATGAAATACTGATAAGGCAAAATAAATTCACCAAGCATCAAGAAACGAGTTTAAAAATAGTAGAGGTAGATAGTTAGGTTATGTACCTTTCCACACAATCTACGAGTCTTGTAAGCTCATCTAGAGAAATAATGATCGCACGCGTCATCTAAAATGGTAAGGAGGTAGTTGAACTTAGCGGCAATAACCCTCCCACCTGAAAATTGTGGTTCGTAATACATCATCAATCCTGCTAGCCAAGCCTCTACGATCCGCTCTCTAAATTGACTTGGCCACTTAGATGTAAGGTCTAGCTCCATCCATGTTAGTAATCGAGAATCTCCATGGAAGGAGAGAGCGAAGGAGGAAGAAGAAGATAAGATATTTCTGTTATTACTTCCTCAATCGTAAAATGTGTACATGGTTAAGCTTATATACTAAAGAACTAAACCAGATACAATAACCAAAGTAAACCAATTCTACTAATATTCTAATACTCCCCCTCAAGATGAGAAGGGATTCTCATCTTGGACATGAAAACTTCAACTAGTCTTGGTAAAGAATGATCCAAAATTCTCAGTCCAATAATGTCAATGTCGATGCTCTGTCCTTGTAAAAAAAAAAAAGTGAAGCCACCTTTGATGTTGCAGTAGCAGCTATGTGCTCCAAAGAACAGTGGCGATCTTGTGCCAACAATATCCATAGAGGAACTTGACGCACAAATTTGGGCAGCAGCAGAAAAAAGAGCGAGTGAGTATACCGGATGTGAAACAGGATCCTTAAACAACCTCATCAAACACTTGCATACAAAGCTTATTGTTTGAGAAATAGAGGCCACAATTGTCACTGTCATCTTCACCACAGTTTCATTGTACCCATCAACACTACTCCAACTTTGCTGAACCACCACTTCATGGCAATCAAGTCCATACAACATAGGATTTGGCCGTAGATGTGGCTGTAGTGGATTTTATGTCAACAGCAACTCAAGTGTTGCACACAAGGCAAACACAACATCACTGTGAATCTCTATCCTCCTACATGCAATCACAACCAATAGAAAACACTTCAACCAGCCAAAGAGTTCTTGCGGAAAGCACAAACCATGTCCAGCAAAATCAAAATCTGCCATCATAAGGAGGAGCCAACACTCTCAATCCTCCATAGTTTATTAACATTTCCACATAAACTTCATAAACCAGTAACTCCAATTGCAGAAAGCCATAGCAATCATCTCCATAGAGGTCTAAGCAGCTTATAACAACAGCAAACTTAAAATTCTCCCCCTGTCTTAAAGGATTCTGATGCCTAAAACTACTTTCTGAAACTGTATATTAGTCATGAACAACACCAAACCATAAGGTGGATGACTCAACAAAGAATCTAAATCTTGTGAACTTGCAGAAGTCATAAATGAGAATCAAGCAATTCTTGTTGCATCCTCTAGAAACTTGCTGCTCATATGTTCGGAATGTGAAGACAAGATACTCTAGCAACATTACTAACCATCTGTCACCAATTCCATATTCAACATTCTGTTGAAAACTTCCTATCGAAACCTTCATCTCTCTAATAACACATCCACATTCCAAAAATCTCCATATTGAAACAACAGCATCGACAGAGATATATCTAGAAGCTATACGCTTAAAGAGAGATTTCAGAAATTGTACCAAACCAACAAAATTGCATCGCGGAAGCAAATCGGAACAATTCTCCGGTGGTCGAGATAGAGATCCAAAGATATAACCATCAAATCCAGAAGAAACACGATTGATAACAATCGAAGAAGAATCACGACACGAAATCTCTCGATGCGAACGAGATCTACTAGCGCGAGGTGAAACATTCTCTGGATCAGTAGTTGAGTTGCGATTTCTGGGTTTGGATCGTTTCTTCGTCATCGGAGGAAACACACGATCAATGGATAGAAGAAAGATGACTACAACAAGCTGAAATCGCATCATGAACTCCAATCTTGACGAAAATCAAGCTCAAATCTTCGAAATTGACCGTACGACGCCGTAATCTTCGAACGGACCGGAATCGAGATCGGAGTTGAATCGCCGGAGAATTTAGGTCATGAATCGGTTGAGCTTGGGCTCAACGCTCTAATACCATGTTAGTAATCGAGAATCTCCATGGAAGGAGAGAGCGAAGGAGGAAGAAGAAGATAAGATATTTCTGTTATTACTTCCTCAATCGTAAAATGTGTACATGGTTAAGCTTATATACTAAAGAACTAAACCAGATACAATAACCAAAGTAAACCAATTCTACTAATATTCTAATAATCCACCATCTTAAAATCCAAACCAACAAAGAAAACGAGAAAAGAAACGAATTATTTAATATTGGAGTTATGAACTTTCTCAAGAATTGACCATTAATAGATTTTTTTCCTACTTGATAAAAGTTTTGAGTTCTTTGATGTAATGCAGCTGCAATAACTTGAAATTTAGCTTGGCTAATCTGAGTAGCGTCTTGTCGTGATCTTCTTCGTGTTCGTAGAACGTAATGTATTCCCTTGCAATTACTGCTTCCATGTTCCAACGTTGAGGTAAATAAAGCGTGTTTCTTATAAGCCTTAAGATATGAGGCTGGCACGTCCCGCCTGCCAATAAAGACTTCAAGTGGTT